GGGGGCTGAGGGCAGAAGCTGCGCCCCGAAGCCCGGCACCAGCACCAGCGCGGAGCGAAGGACCATCATCACAGAAAAGCGACAGGCCGAGCTTGGACTAACCGGATCAGTTAAAAACAGAAGAAGCGTGGCTCCAACGGCGGTCGCCGCCCGTGGAGGGCCGTGGGACACCGGCGGTCACATTCCCTCTGTCGTCACTTCAAGACTTTCGAATGCTGTCGGGTCACCAAGACGAACCCTGACGACCTGTCTTCCGTTTGGGAACCACTTTCACGAGGGAGACGGGAAGGGAGGCTGGGCGACTGGCACCCGCTATCAGGGCGCGAGAACGCTCCCTGGTGACCTGTCACTCTTCCCTACGAATCCTCGGAGACTGTGCCTGCGGTTCGAGGGCTGAGCTATCCCGCGCAGCACATCCGCCAAAGGCCTCGCGGGACGGCCCGCTCGCCCGCGGCTCCCGCCGGCGCGCTCTGCGACCACGGCTGGGCTTCGGGGACATTCACACTGGATTTTCTCTTGCTAGTCTCCATTTTCTAAAATTCTCAAAAATGACCAAAACAACTTGTTTTGTTTTTTTTCCTGAAATAAATTAAAAAAAAAAAAAGTTCCATCTCCCCAGCTCTTTCTCATTTAGTTTCACAAACTATAATAAATAAAACTGTTGATACAGCATTTTGGAGACTGTAGGGGACAATTAAGTTTCCTGCAAAATAATTTCTTAATATACTGCTGCCAATTTAAGTCACAGATACACAGAATTTTGGGTCGAATCATGTGGCATTTACCCTGAAGTATTACTGTCGTTTGGGACTATTCGGATGACCCCATCCATTCACGAAGTAAATGGATTCCAACTGTGGTCTCCGTAGCAACGTGTCTGAGGACAGCAGGGCTGACCGGTCAATTGCATTTTCCAACAGAAGCATGGACACAGGTGGGAAATGAGGGGCTCCTGACTCTGCAGGCCCATGGCTGCCACGCTACACGGGCCTAACGCTTTGAGCTACTTTCTTCCCTTTTTAATGATCATCTGTAGTTCCAAAGTCTCTCACAGGTGGGCTTATAACTGCTCTAGGCTGTTCTTTTTTTAAAATATGTTTTTATCGCCCGGGCGGGCGTGGCTCAGCGGTTGAGCATTGACCTAGGATCCAGGAGATCGGGGTTTGATTCCTGGTCAGGGCACATGCCCGGGTTGCGGGCTCAATCAATGACTCTCTCATCATTGATGTTTCTATCTCTCTCTCTCTCCCTCTCCCTTCCTCTCTCTGAAATCAATAAAGATATATTTAAAAAATAAAATAAAATATGTTTTTATTGATTTTAGAGAGAGAGGAAGGGAGAGGGAGAGAGAGACAGAAACATGGGTGAGAGTCATTGATCAGCTGCCTCCTGCACCCCCCGACTGGGGATCGAGCCTGCAACCCCAGCATGTGCCTGTCGAAGAATCGAACAGTGACCTCCTGGTTCATAGGTCGATGCTCAACCACTGAGCCACGCTAGCCGGGCCTGACAGCTACTTTTATACAAGCACCTGAGTAGTTAAGTCAGGTGATGCCTGGGAATATTTTATATTCCTTCCATTATTCTTAGAACAGGACATGAACTGCCTTGTTGACTTAGTTAACTGATATAATATAGGACAAATACGACCCTGGGCCACAAAAACAGATCTTTCT